TTTTTTCTCCTTCTTCTTTTCCCCCTAAAATGGCTTTTGCATGTCGTTGGTCGTGAGTTTACATGCTTTGAAAACTTTTGGCTTTTGGCCTTTGTTTGTAACCGTTTTCTGATGGAGGCTGGAGGATGGGCCGTTAGCTCTTTGTTGCCAGTCTTTGACTCGGGAAGCTCATGTCATTAAACTTGTCTGTGGGAAAGGGTAATTGTTTCTCTTTGGTTAGGTTTCCTGTAGATTTCATACAATACCTTTCACCAAGCTGAGCTAAGGAGATGTACATACCTAGTCTCGGAGTTTTCTTTACCGCTACTTCTCGTCCCCCAATTATGGCGCCTTTCGTGTCAATTGCTCATCATCTCAACAGGGTCATGAATTGCTAGTCCTTCACAATACTGACGTGCATATTATAATGGCCTGCTGGCCTGCTGGCCGCGTGCCGCAGCCCGGCCCGTCGGACGTGCCGTTGGCCCCATGGCGCTGCCCATCCTGTGATATCCACTCCTGCACGCGTGCAAATTCGTCCATGGTCCTCATGCGTCCATGCGTCCCTCGTCCCGTGGAACAGGCTTCATCTCTGCATCAATGCCCAAACATCGTTCCACTCTGCGCTGGTAAGACGGAGTGGGTATTGTTTTCGTTACAAACCATTCTGTCACCTCGGAGCCAAGCCCCATTACTTTCTGACCTGTCCCCTCGGCTGACATTTTGCAATCCTTTGGAGGAAATGACACGGAATTACCTAAGGAGGATGCATACTGTACAACTGTCCTCGTCTGGCTAGAGTCCATGCAAGCCATGAACTTTGTGCGAGTCAATGTTCAATGGTGATTTGACTCGGTAAGATCCTAGCGGAAGTTTCCGTTCAATAGACGCGCTCATCCACGGCCCCCGAATTTCCTTATTTGGGTTCAGGGACGATCATTGTCTTCTCTGTCAACTGGGAGGCCGGTATTTCCTTCCCCTTTTGTGGTCTTCTGGTGAGTTGAGGAATCATACGAGCAAGGAATGTTCCGTAAGCAGTCTTCTTTCTTTGTTGTATCACTATGTAGTCAAGTTATGTATCATAACTGATTTGGATTTTACTTGAACTTGCTTGGTTTCATTCACACTTTGCTCCAAACATGCTTGTCCTTACATCGTTAAGGATGGTCACTAGGATCGGACACAACCCCGGAGCCGATATTTTGTCATGATAACAAAATGGAGAGGGAATGTATGGCCTTGAAGACATAATCAAGCTGTATAGCTCTGGTCCTTCGAACCAATACTTGTACATATATATATTTCCAAACTCAGCTTGATATGTCTACCATACATCATCCTGATGATGTTACTCCAAGAAGAAGAATTCACTTCTGACTTGAGTAGTTTCAACCAGACAGATATTCAACGGTGACGGCTAATATGTTAAAAGATGTAGTCCTTTGGAATATACATTTGACGCTCCAGTAGTAGCCAGGATGATTAACAAAGTGCTAGCATGGCGCTAATATTTGCTAACTCGTACTCAGCCAAGGACAAGGTTCACGCTTTTACCTAGGCCATCACTCTGGCACCCAACAGCAATACTCCATCCCATACCGGCATCATATAAGTTTCGCCCGCAATACGGACGTACGATTCAATAAATGTGACACATCCATGTTCTTTTGCTTGAAGATATTGCAGTAAGGGACGCTGCTATTCGCTGAAGGCCAAGTCCAGAGATATCGCTCCAATCCATGTCTAGCACTAGCTTGCATACCGTTGATAGGAGAACGGCCCATAGCTATGTTGGAACGCGTTCGATGGGCTAGATTTTCAGACAGCCCTATTCCATCATCCACGATTTTCGTCGCTTGTGTAGTGGAAGCCCTGGCCCCGTTATTTAGAGTTGGCTAATTTACAGGCTCAAAATTTCCGGATCGCCAGTCTTTGTGGGGAGAGCTGATCACTGAGCGACTTAATCGCACTGATTACTTAGCTAGGGTAAAGGCTTACACAGAGCAAGAGTTCCAGTTTTAATTCTAAGTTATTTTTTTTTTTTATTTTCTATTTTTTTTCTCTCTCCCCTCCTTTCTTTTGGTTTTCGCCACTTCATCTCGACGACTGGAAGGAGCAGCAGTCAACTGATTATGAGACATCCCTACAAAGTCAGGCATCCACCACCCTCCAAACCTAACCTTTTGTCGCGTGATAGAAGAGGTCGATGTACAACCGAGTAACTCGTACAGCGTGTCACGCTCATATGTTGGGTCATCACATTATAGTGTCAATCCACAGCATTAGTTAGGGTCATGACTCGAACAAGACAACAGGAACTGCCACTAGAGGCGTTGGAAGTCAAGGTACAACCGGCACAGCGGGAGACCAACTAGTCCTACCAAATTTGGAAATGTGACCAGGCGAACAAGTAAGCCCAACTGGACTATCTGCCAATGCTTTGCTCCTCGTTTCGCCACGTCATTTGAGAAAGACAGCGCTTGCGCACACGCAGATACTACTATACACACCCTAGTGCCCGAAGTGAGCACAGACAAGCGTGGTTGGAGTATCTCCTTTTTTTCTCTCCCCCCTTTCCCTTACTAACCAAGCCACCAAACTAAACCAGGGAGGTTAGTGTCCTGTTTATCCGCCGCTAGCCTGTCACCAAGTGTTTCCACGCGTGCCACGCCCGCCAAAAGCGACAGATAAAGTACAGATAGCCTGGGAGGCTCCTCGCCCTCATAGGCCAGTGCCTGTCACGTGACTGAATGTGTATGCGGGCTGATCGATGATCAGTGACAGGCCGCATGATTCTTTTTCTGTTCTCCGCCAGCGCTATACTACTCGTTGCCAACCGTTTCCGCTTGGTCAGCAATTCGGACGCCAACGGGAACACTAACCAAGGCAGTTCAACTGCTCTCTGTACCTTCTTCTTACTTTGATATACCCGTCCATACATATGCAGGAAGAGATGCACGTTGGTAAGGGCGCCTCACCCCCAGCCTCCGGACGGAAGATGAATTACGATCTCTAACCCTCTGCTTAATTTCGTCATCTTTGGAGCCACACGCGATCTTATCGCCAGCCAAGGCGAGTTGACGTTGGTCGCGGTGGAGCAGTCCTTCGGAGATACCGAGGGCGATACCAGACCTTGAAGCCCACAATTCTCTACCGAGTGGGTTCTGGTGTCAACGGAAACCCACGGACGGAAATGCAAGCAGCCGATAGGATCAGAGGAGAATAAAACGTGGCAACAGAGAGAGATTAATAGACGATGAAAAGAGGAGCGCAAAGAAGAGGACGTACGGAGTACTCTGAAGTGGTTTCATGCGGTGTAACTTACCGTCACCGTAATACTATGTTTGTGTAGACCAGTTTGGTTTTTCCCGTACGGTACCGAAAGATTTCTTTCAGGGTATCTCAACCAGGATGGAAGCCCATTATCATTCCATCCTCCATCTCGATGCTATGACAAAGTGAGGCTGACTGTGAGTGTTGGCTGTGTGGAGCAGGACGCATGGGAGTACCTACCTGCATGCAGCACCTTCTTAAGTTGCACTGTTGTCAACTTGGGTACTGTTACCTTGGGGTTACACTCGATTCTCTCTAGCAGTCAGAATTTACACCTAAGGATTGCCATCGGTGGCGTCACCAGTGTCAAAGGTACAGAATCCCAAGTTTATGTTTCTGGATTCACTCCAGCAGAGATTGCTGGGTCAAATTTGATTGAACAAAGAGGAGAAAGGCGGGGAAATGGAAAAGAACAAGGAAAAGAAAAAAAGTTTTGGGGCGGAAAGGAGACGTTGGAAAAGTGGAGGAGTTGTTAAAACGTTATGAGGCTCCAGTCTTAGACGATCAGACCTCTTAGCCCATGGTCAGATAACAGAAAGCCGGCAGACTTTTCCTTCGACATGACTAAATTATGCAATGCGTACGAAAGGTGACATTATTGTCGTCACCACGATGATATTACGACTTTGATAGCATGCCACACTACGCTTTATGCATGAGATCGGCGGGAGTCGGGGCGGGCCGTCGTGGTGCCCAGGAGAACAACTAGCGACTGAGGAGTGGTGGTTGCCCAACGCCCTGACACCAGCCCTGAAGCACCTGCATCCAGATCACACCTCATCCTGGCTGATTTCCGTTTGCGACCACCGACTTCCGGCATTGGTGCTATTCTTATCAGGCCGCGTAGGAGGTATGGGAATGGCTATTTCTCCTTTCTCTTAAAAATTTATTTTATTTTATTTTATTTTATTTTTTTTTACTTCTTCCTCTTTCTAATTTGGGAGTCATACATATCTTGTTTCCATCCTTCGGCCGACAACTTTGTATCATTCAGGTATTGTGAATTTCCATGTCACGAAACAGGAAATACCGTCTCCACCTTCCATCCACTAATCATTTATCACTACCACCAAATCATAATAATAATAATAAAAAAAAGGAGGTCAGAAAAGGTTGACAGAAATACAAAATTTATTCCAATACAAGAGGGAATGTGAAAGCGATGATGTACATTACAGTCAATCTGGTTAAAACAGCATGAGTCACACGATCGATGTCATGCTTCTTGATGTCCAAGATGAGCGAATATCTTACCTACATCTACCGTAATAACAACCACCGCTCTGTGCTGTTGAGGAAGGATTGAGTGGGGTTAAAGAAGGTTTGGCAGTCTCTGGCAAATGTGATTAGCTTGCAGAAATTAGACTTGTTTCTCTTCGGTGCGTGTCGGATCATGGCTGTGAGTGCTGTACAGCAAATCAGAATGGCGTACGGGCTCTTCTTAACTTCCGCCAGGCTTTACCCAAGAGGACTAATCATTAGTTCCCATGTCCTTCCCATGTGCCAGTGGATTCTCGTTAAAAGTCTTTCCTCCAAACAAAAGAGGAACCAGGGCATCATATTACGCACTTAGCAAGGATGCCGGCCAGGTTCGCAACCGGCTGATTGGCAGCCGTGTCAGCAGACCCCGCAAACGAATCCTGGTTCTTGGACACCGTCAATTCCTTCCGACACGCGTTGACAGGCCGTTTCTCGCTCGAGACGACCTGGCCAAGTTGCGCTAATGCACCTTCCCTTGAAGTGCCACCGATCGGGCCATGATAATGCTTTCCTGGCGCGGTCCCAGGGCTGTAGCACCGGGAAACTTAGGGCTCTCCACCGGGTCCCCCTCACAACCCCCTCTCTTGTTTTCAATTCCAGAAGAAGCATGCTGGATACTGTTATTCTCATGATTATAGGCTCGTGTCGGTAGAGCCAATTACGGCCTAATAATGACCTCAATCCACCGAATGACTCGTACCCGTGGCCACATCTCGTAAAACAGCTTGAGCAAGGCTTGACTGAGTCTGTTATTACAAGTCCCGAATTTCGCGTGTATTAATACGTATCTAGTCGAAAACGTTGATTTCCCGAATGAAACTCCCGACGCGGTAATGCAGGACAGTTATGAAAGATCCATGATATCCAAACCTTACTACATCTGATGTCTTGCACTTCCTTCAGCTGAACCATTTTCTGAATTAGGTAAACCATCAACCCGAGACTCCTAGCTGACCTCTGCTGACTTGGGGGCTGAGAACCAGTGCTCACCGCCTAATACCCTTTGCACGAAAACTCCACATCTAAAAAGTTTTCCTGACGGTCTTCTCACCACAAACCCCACTTCAAACGGAGTCGAAACTCCTTCATCGCCACTTTAACTTGAATTATGCGTGCATCTATTATTGGGTTTCCCACAGCACCCGGCCTTTGTACGGTTGTACCTACTGTTCTTACCCAGATCCATGGGACAGTTAAATTTGCGGGTGGGTCGAACGAATAACATACCATGACCGAGTTTCCAAGACCACGGTCCACCGCATGGAGACCGAGCATCGTCCGAATTACAATACCATGGATACGCCGCCGCAGGGTTCCATAGTTAGTCAGTACCAGCCATACTTGTGCGACTACGGTTCGGAGCGCTCCTTTCCATGCTGGGGCCAACCAGAGATGAGGGAGCGGCTCACGGTATGTCTATAGACCAATAAGAGGGCCGTCGCTTAACTTAACATTCACTTCCGACTCAACTCATTTTCAACCAATGGAGAGCCGATTGCGGGGTCAATCGGGTCAACGTGTTCACATTACGCCTGATTAATTCCTCGACTACAAAAGCGCTCCATAAAGGCTTGTGATATTACGTGCTGCTGTCCTCGAACATCCCACAAGGGTTGACCTGAGGTATGGAATCGAAGTAAGGACCTTGGATCCTTTCCGTCCTCGGAGCGGTTACCCACGAATCCAAATCAACGTTCTCCAGGTCTTTGGACGGGATATGACGACATACCTACATACACCATTACATACGACTTCCGTCTGATCTAGTATCCCTCAGAACCGCCTTGACTACTACTAGTAGTATGTAGGTCTTATCGTGCTTCTTACCGACAAGTTCGGTATAACAGCTCCTCTCCGTAGCAAATGGGTTCTAACTTGGGGCAGATTTGTCTATAGATAGATATCAAATAGCTCGAATCCTATGGAGCTACTGATCGTTCATAACCTTCAAAGGCCCTACCGAGACCTACTCTCTGGTCCCATTGTTGGACAGGGCCACTGGGCTTGATTTCGGCCTCATGACTGGAAAAAGAACCTCTCATAAGTCTTCTTTGTTCTTTCTTGAACTGAAGCAAGGCATAGCTGCATATGTGAATAAGTATCTTACAATAGAATGTGTATCCCTTTCCACAAATATTTGGAATTTATGTACTTTTGAGATCGAGACAAGTGAATCCCACCAAAAGATCACGCGATGGGTGAAAAAAAAGGGAACAAAAAGGGGGGGGACCCGAATGGATGGTACATTCCTACTCTGCATCGCAAAACTGTTTTCGGTGCTATGATGACAAGATCGCGGGTTGGTACCATGGCTCGCGGCCCCTGTGGACGGGCTGGGCCGTTCGCGAGTGATCCCCGAGTTCCCGGATGCAAGGGAGTCAAAGTACTGTGCAGGGCGCAATGGCTAAAGCCACTGAAACTCGTGCCAGTGGCTTTGCATTGTGAGTTACTGATCTAGGTTCCGCTTCTTCAGCAGCGAGATAAGCGGTATGTGGGTTGCCGGGCAAGGATACAAGGGGTTGGTCGGTAATGAGAACTGGGGTAAGCACCTACCGTGCAGAAATACTCGCCAATCAGCCACCTCAGGTGTTTGCTTGGTGACATATCTACCCTGGTTGATTGATGAAGGAACCCTGTATGATTTTTGAGCCGGACCACCGCGGGCACTACTGCGAGGCGCATACCAGAGCCGATTAGCCGTTAAGTGTAGGCCAACTGAGATGGCAAGATACAAGGAATTGATCAAGTTATAAGAGATCAGGTGGTCGAGATATAAAGCAAGGGATCTCTCAGTCCTCGCATGATTAGACCGGGTAATTTTACATATGGTACTTTTAAGATCTGAGCTCCAGGTACCTGCCGTGCCCACACGTAGGGCTGGTAGTTGGTTGGGAATGTCCACCACACTCTTGGTCATCGGGTCCAATGCAAGGAGTAGGCCCCATCGAACAAGAAAGCATGACCATCGTAATCAAATGAACCCATCTTTATATTTGCTCATGTTAATTTGTGGTCACTGGGTTAAATGCCGCCGGAAAAAAATCCTTTAAAGAGAAGGGGGAAAAAAAAGGAGTGTATGCACTGGTCTGAATACTGGTACACTAGTTAAGCAGTTAACCATGGTTCTTAGGTTACCTATGTCTGTTCAGCCATGTGTGCTACTAGTTCGCCCGCACGGCTGGAGCACCCCAAGAAATTATTCTCTATTTTTTTCTATCCTTAGTTATTTTTATTTTTTATTTTATTTCGGAAAAAAAAAAAAATCCTCAGTATGGACCGAGAACCTTGGTACCCTTAATCCCTAGTGCGTCCCAAGAACATGAGCCCGGTAACCATAGACAGAGGACAAAGGGGACACGAAGATGGTGAAAAAACCAGTGGATTTTGTTTCTTTTTCATACCATTCCCAGCATATATCTCTTTGATAGAAAAACTTTTCCTGATGAGTCGGATTTTCTGTGTCCGTCGGATGCCCGGCCAAAGACCTCAGCTAGTAAGCAGTGTAACTTGGAGAAGTAAATTTCTTTATGAAGGGAGGCTTGATACAGTAAAAGGGCTGGCTGATTAATCTTCTGCAGGCCGCCATTGGTACACTTTAAACGATTATTCGTTGCCATCCACGGGCCGTCAGCCCCTCTTCTAGGGATTCGGGCATTACCCGGGTGGGCCCAGCATGTATGTCCTCCCATCTTGATAATAATTAAGTCGACTTTGTGCCCCTCTGTGTATGTATTTTTCAAGTCGATTGCGGCATAGAGCAGTTGTGTCTCCATCCATTATTCATGTCATACGGATCCTGTTATACTGCCGTACTCATCCAGGAGGACGACCAACTGGGCCTGACCCCGTATCGTCTATCTGCAGGTCACGATGGAGTACGCGTGGTATCTAGTCTCACACCTGGACGTAAGTTACTACTGCAAGTAGTTCCTATCTAGGGACCGGTGCAAAGCACAGGGCACCGGCTTAGATCCTGAAAAGGGATAGCCTGAGGCCGTTCAGCCATGGTCAGATGAAACATCTGGAAGTTAGTCTCGTCTCCATATCGTTGTACAGCTATTCCTTCTGTCTTAGATCAAAATGGAAAGCCAAAGATATGAAACCGCACCTAAAATAAGAATGATCAAGAACGTTCCCCTGATAAATGCATATGCGAAGGAATCGATCTCAACCATCACGGGTTAGATCTGTATGTTTATCATTTCAAGCCTGATAGGTCGTAAGTATTATTACCAGTATCTCTAAGCCACTTTTGGACAGCAACTTAATCATCCATGTAAGTCGCCAAATAAAAAAAAAAAAAAAAAAAAAAAAAAAAAATCAACATTAACCCC